AGACTTGGGAAGAAAAAGGAGAATTACATTGTCAGACAGAGACAGAAAACATTTAAATTACTTTATTTTTTCTTTTTTTTATTTGATTTTGAATCTTCATTAAATTTTTAAATAAAAATTTATAAAACTACAATATTATTGTTTACATACAAATCAAGAGCAGTTTTCTTTTTTTTTTTTTTTTCTTTTTTTCATTATCTTCCTTCTCTTTCATCAATAGAATGCCATGCTGATTTCAAGATTTTCTGACATCTATTCTCTATCCTACTGTTAATTCTGTCTGCCTCTTGTTTGATAGATGGGATGTTGGATTCAGGCCCTTCCCTGCAGGAACTCAGCTGGCACTTGCAAAGACGGCTGTCCCCAGCAGACGTCAATTCTGGAATGTGGCAGGGGATCCCCTTCCAGAAGTCAAGTGTGATGCCGGAAATGCTAGTAGCTATTAATACAGTATGTATTTTTATGATGAAATATTGGCAAGTGTGATGCTTTAAGACCCATTCCTACCTAAAGTGTTATTGTGGATGCTGGCATGAGACCAAGTGGGTAACTTGAGTCTAGTAAAACTAACCTTGTTCTCTCTTTTTTCCCCCTCTATAATTATAGTCATCAGAATAATTGAGGCACTGCTGTAACTTAAAGAAAAAAAAATGTGTTCTGGGAGCCTGATGACATTATAAGACATGAAACTCAAGTCTGATCTATTAAACCCTTGAGGAAAATTAACTTTGTTCATATTGTGTAGTGTAAAATAGCAAACATATTGTGTCTCATACAGGCAAAGTTAAAATTGGTAACCTTTATGACCTTTGTGACCTTCCTATAGAATTACATGGTTGGCTTATTTAAAAAGTAGTTTTAAGTGTCTTTTTTGAAATAAATTCAAATTTTACATGTATAGTAGTACGGTTACATAAGTGAGAAAAAATTTACAAATGCAATGGTATGCACAGTGTAAGATCTGAAAATCTGAAAATTGGTATGCTAGTCTGCTTTTCAGCATAACTATTTCAGCAGCTGCATGAAGTGTCTGTTCTGGAAAGCACGGCATTCAAATTACACTCTAATGATTCTTACATTCCTGCCATTTTTGTCCCCACAGTAGCACATCAAAGAAGCTGGTGGTATTTGGATGTCAGAATGAATACAATATTTACTAACTAGAGCTATTCCTAGAGACGTGTAGCCAGAGGATAGAGAATTATGGGTCTGTCCTATACTTGGATGGGAGATCGTGAAGAAATCTGGATATAGGACAAACATTTACCCACAGGAATTAGGCAGAAACATTGCACGTAATTCCACTGTCATTGCTGAGTTCAGACAATAGGAAAGAGGTGAAAGTAATCCCTAGAGTTTACAAGTGGGTTCAGGGTTCTTTATTAAAAGATGTGATAACTCTAAATCCTGGCTTTACAGAGTTGGATAAAAAAGGGGGGAAGCATATTGGGGAAACCAAAATACGTTATGATTAAGTTACTTCTGGAAGCAGAAGAACAGTCAGAGCTGGGATTATAGTCAAAATCTTCACATACCTGAGTGAACAACAATTTCATTAGCTTGTGCTGCCACTTCATCAAGTACCTCAAATACACTTCATCAGCTAACTCCCTGTTAGCAGCCGTATCATGGGGGCTGATAATGACAATACCACTCTGTAATCCTCCTTGTTCTTTATTTTAAAACCAGAGGAACAAGGAGTCAGAGCTGTATCAGAAACCATTCAGTTCAACTAGCTCTTAAAATTATAGTCAGCTCTGGAACAAGGTATTTGCTTGTTTTTGCTACATGCTTTTCTGGATTCCAACCCCACAGTTCCCACCACAGCCAGCCAATGCTGCTCCTTTTCCTAAGAGCCATGTCAAGCAGCCTCACATAGCAGAGGGCTTCTTTCTCCTTTCCTTTGTCCTCTTTACTGTCTTAGTCACAGGCTCAGAAGTCTCCACTCCTGGACAAGGGAATGGGTGCCAGAGAGGCCAAAAGAGAGCAGCAAACTACTCCAGAGGAGCTCCCTCTGCAATGCTCTGGCTAATGTCTGATGTATAAATGAGCTGTCATGATTTAACCTTTTTGTACACCCCTGGTGAGAACAGATTCAGGTCTGATGATGACAGTTTAAAAATGAGATAGCAACACTGGAAGAGGGTGCAGGAACCATTCAGAGGTAGGAAGGATGAGTTGCAGTGAGTATTGACAAAGGACAAATCAGTTTACCAAAAAAAAACAGATTAAGAGGTGTCTCAGTTACTGGCTATTAGAACCAGTGTGGAAAAATTGGTTGCTAAAAGATTGTTGAATCTAGTAGACAAAAACATAACAAGAATTGATGTTTTGAAGCTCAAGCCGAACAAATTCAAATAAAAAAAGAGAGCTCATATTTCTTAAGAATGAGTATGATAACCTTCGAAAGAGGCTTCCAGGAGAAGCAATAAGTTATCTACTTTGGATGTCTTCCCATAAAATTTAGTTTTAATCAGGCCCAAATTATTGGCCTTGGTACAGGTAAAATATAATGGCCTGTGATACATGTAGACCCTGAAGTTCTGCCTAATAGTGAAATACATGAATAAAGACATTGTATGAGTTTGTGATCAAGTGACAGATTCATGAGACCAACAAGTGAGTAACTGAGACAGGAACTTGGCTGTGTAACTTGTTGGTTGGGACCTCTAGCCAGCTTTGGGAGATGGACTTGGCCCTGTTCCTCTCTGTCTTTTACATTAGAAAGTCCTGAGGAGAGAGAAATCTGTGAGACAGATCCTACCCAGATGTAGGCTGTGGCTGCTAGACCTCACGGACAGGTTCATTTTTATACACTTTCCTTCTATTTCCCCAAGCTGCACAGGACTCTTCCGCCTAAAGGGAAGGAGATGTCATCCCTGCCCTCAGGGTAGTACGTAGCATGGTAGTCTAGATACACTCTTAAAACACAGAAGCTATGAGTCTGACTCCTGGGTTTAGACAAAGCTTCACATCAAGTCTCCAGTCCCCTGAAGGCCTGTACAGACCAGTAAGTAATCATGTATAAGTGGATATTGTCATCAGCAGTTGTTTTTATTAATGAAGTGGCGAGTTTCAGTTTGAGAATAAAGTACCCGCCTCTACCATACCATTACATTCATGATAGATCTAATCAGTGCAGTCTCACTGGAGCTGAGAGACATATTCAACTAACCAGCCATTAGGGCTGCAATTCAGTTGCCCACACAAAGACAGGTGGGATCCTCAGAGCATCTGAAATGTCTGCAGAGGGCTGGTATAAATGACCTATGACTAATAGGAGAGCCTCATCTCCTGGAGTGGCAGCTAAATGCTGGGGAGGATATCCCCCGGCAACCAAAACAGCACTAGACATTTACATCTGGGTAGCTCAGTCCATCCCTGAGTGTCAAATTGTGGTTGGCTAAATCACTCTCCTGCCTCTGTTACCTATATGACTGCATGTCAAGTAAGCATGATGGGAGTTTTGACACCTTGCACACAAGTAGGGCCTCACATTTAGGGTTCTTAATCTGAAGCTGAATGCTATTCAGACTAGCCATAGCTCTGCTGCTCTGTGTTGTCATCACCATCTTAAGTCCGTGCAGAGCGTACCTCCTCAGGGATCACAGGTTTTGCCTAAATGCTAGACCTACTGCCAGTCTCATCATGTGTGGGTAATTACACACAAGCGGCTGAACCTTGTGGTCCTGAGAGCTCCAAGGCTCAGTCTGGAGTTCCCCTATGAGTTGCAAATGTGACTGATTAGTGGTGCCAGCAGGACAACTTTCCAGATCTGCCGTTTAGGATCAATATCCCTAAACTGTGCTGAAATCCCAGTTTGGATGGTCAGAATCTTGTCTTAAATGCCTTATTTATCACTTTGACATTACATAAAAATGTACATATGCTTTGGCTTAAATAGGAATGTATGTACAATAGGCAACAAACCAACGTTAAGACCATCATCTATGATGGGGAGAAATCCAAATCTATTATTGATGAAGAAGAGGGATTTTTAAAAGCCTGTAAGGTGAAACAAAGTTTCTTAATCACTGTCCTGTTCTTAAGAATGGATAACAATATCTTTAATGAGATCTACCTTTGAATGTCTGTAACAGCCATGGAGTTCTTTTCAGCACATGATACTAAGGTGAGGGAATAGAATTGAAAGTTTATAACAGAAGTTTTCACTTCAGTCAAGGAAAGATCACTGAGGCAGATAAACTGTGTAATGAACCATTACTGACACTAACTTCCTCACAACAATAAAAACAGAAGAATCTGGGTCTTCCACTGCAGACAGTTTTATTTGATATAATACCTGCTACACAGTGACTGATGAGGTGACTAGAGAAAGCAATTATTGCAGAGCCAGCTGGGAAGAGAACTAGCAATCAGCACAGAAAAAAAAAAAAATGGCGACAATTTTGAGCCTGAAAATTCACATATCTTATGTCCTACTATCTTACTCCTTTCTTTTCTGCCTGCACTGGCACAGCTGATCCTGCTCTGCTAAAATGCTTTGTACAGTGCCTATCCCAGCCCTACTTGTTCTACCAACATTCTTCAGCCATCTCTAAAAGTCCCAGTGAAGCAAAACATTGTTTAAAAAAAAGTCACAAAAGTAGATTTATTTGAACCATGCTACAATGAGACAGATGAGTCCTTGGTTTGCTGTCCTACCCTTATTGCCATTCCTGCCCCAATGCATGCTCTCCTTGTGTAGCCATGGGCCAGCTGAGCACAGGCAGGACCTCATGTGTGCCTCCCCCCTGGCCCAAACTTTGTCCTTCAGCTCCAGAGATGCAGGACTCTCACTAGAAATGTGGATAACAGATGATGATCTATGCACATATGATTTCTTCCACACTATGCTCCTGCATTCAGGGCAGTTTTGTTGGGGCTTTGTCCTGCCTGTATTAGGTGAGGAATGCAGAAGGAACTGAATACGTGGGTGTGATGTGGTCAGCGGATGCAAACCCATGTCCTATTTTACTTACCTATGGTGATCTTCTTACCTCTTTCCAGCACAAACACCTTCTCAGGGAGGCAAGGACTCAGCCCCAGGAATGGATACTGCTGCACTATTTTCTGCTCTCTTACACATCCTGTGACTGAAGGGTCTCCTCCCTTTCTTCCTGGGGTGTTTAGAGGACAAATACCTCCCAGACAGGATCCATTTTTGCTTCTGTGATGTGGCTGTGAAAAAGGTATAGCAGAGTACTACAGTAGAGAACTGGACAACAGGGTCTTTATTTCCAGAACAATGCAGCCTTTTTCTGAGCTGAACAAACACTTTACCCAGCAATACTATCCTTGGCAGTACTACAGTGTTCCCAGCTTCCATGGTTTAAGTAGGTAGATTAAGTTTCTCACCTGATTAATCACCCCAGTGGCCCTTGCCCAACCCAGGTGTCTCTGCAGAATAAAACATCATCACTTGCTGAAGTCACTGATGTTCTTTGCCGCTGCAAACTTTTTCAGAGTTTTGATAAAATCCTTTTTTTGCTGGGTGCTCCCTTCCCAGTCACTGCTAAACCACTCATCTGTATCTATTTGTTCTCCAGATCAGCCTCACTGCTGCAGATCTCAACTGTTTTCAGCATCCAAACCAAGCTTATTGTGCTGTAGAACCGTCTCCTCATTTTTTAATTTTATTCTTGTGTCCCTCCCACTGGCCTACCAATTAGTCTGGAATTACCTTGCCCGTTACCCTGTCTTGGTTTGGACTGACAATTGCTGTCTCAAGTGATATTTAAGTTGCTGCAAACAAATTGGTTTTGTCTGTCTGGCTTTCATGCTTTCCACCTTCAGTGAGTGGAGGCTGTTGAATATTTTCTTCAGACATGGCTCAGCCTAGCAGGAACTCTGCCTGTCCCAGTCCAGTGACATTGGGGCACTGGGCTTTGCCTGCACTGCATAAATGGGATCTAGCTCTGCTTTTAAAGTGTAATTGGAAGAGAAAATTTTTCTTAATATTCATAAAACAGTGAAGGAAGGTATAACCATTAGAACCTGAGGCAGCAAACAGCCCCTTGAGAAAGGAGGCTTGAGCAGAGAAACACATTTTCAGTAATCTTCAGGGAGGGGCTGTGTAAAGCTTTCCATGTGTTTTGATTCTCATATGTTTTAGCAAACTGTCCCTGGAGAGGCAGCATGTACTGTATGAGTAACCCTAAACCCTACTTTCAGACTGAAAGTCATTTTCATTCAAAAAGTTTAGCCCCAGATTTGCACACCATGCTTCAGAGCTGTGAAGTATGAGGGGTGCCAGGTAAAAACCACCCCTCTCTGAACATTCCTTTTTCCTCCCAAGGTAGAGGAAAGCTTTAAGGACTTCTGCTCCCTTGGGCATCTTTGACCTTGAGGCGGAGCCCATTCATTCTCCCAGCAATGAAGGCCACATCAGGCCTCCTTCCCCTCAAGCATAGAGGCAGCTCTAGAGTAGGTGGGTCCTAGAGAGGGCTGCAGAGAGAAGCTGCTTTTCTATTTCCTTGCTAGGGCTAACTGGCAGAGGTCAAAGCAGTACCATTAATCACCTTGTCATGTGATGGATGGTGATATCCACTCCTTTCAGTGATTACTGTTGCATCTCCCTCCTTATATCAAATCAAAAGCAGCCAAAACATAATGTCAGCCAGTAATTTATTGGGAGCTGGAAGCTAATTCACCCTATTAATAAAACACGCTGGTTGACACTATGGGGATGAGGCCATGGTAAACAACTGGAGTCTCCTGACAGATGAATGGATGAGACTGGTCTCACTGGACATCTATCAGCAGCTCTCTTCCTGAACCTCGCTTGCCCCTCATCACAGGGATGCTTCCTCCTCCCGAGGGGTTTCCTTCCAGTGCAGACTCTTTGCTGCTGGAGCGAATCATCCATTTCCAGCCTGCTGCTCTGGAGTTTCTCACTGCCGTTGGCGGGATGGGTGGTGGTACTTCTGTCGGTACGGAAGGGCTGTGGGGAGCCTTCCCAAGCTCTTAGGGAACACAGAAATTGCAGGCGCCTGTGTGCTGCTTTAGCATCTTCTTTCTCCTGTGGGATGGGGAAAAAGGGCTGGTTATGACATACAGCTGCAGGATGAAAGGAACAAGTGTGGGATCCCCCATTCGTTTCATGGCATATGATATTTATTTCATTACTCCCCTTTTTGGCTGAAGAAGTCTGTTGTAAAAACAAACATTAAGGCTTTGAGAACGCCTACCCCCAGCTGCATTGGGGTGCTTGGTGGCACCCTCTTAACACGCTGCACTGAATCTATGAAGAAATGTCTGCTGTTGGAAGTCTTATCTGAGGCGTAGCATTTCTTAGCGTGACTATAAAGAGGAACTTGTGTGAACCGGACATCTCGGGCTCTCTTCCCACCATCCTGCGACTTGCTGAAGAGGCTCTGTGAAAGTGATCCTTATCTGCAGCCTGGCAACTCTATGTAGGTCTTTGTACGTCCCCACAACCCTCTGGCTCGTAGATATTGTAGGAATCCTTTCCTCTGAGTAAGATATTTGCCAGTCCTGAAAGAATGTTTTCCCTCATGCTGCTTGGAATCAATTTTATTGCGTGACAACATTAAGGGGAAAATAATATGTTTGCTTAAAAACATAGATTTTTAAGAATGGAGCAATACTTCAGAAAGACCATCCGTTAGCTGCAGACTTTCTTTTTGGTTCACATTTTATCTTAAAACTGTCATTAAAACTGGCAAGAAAATCTGAGTCAGGAGGTCACTGGTAGATAGATAATATCAAAGTTGGCTAGCTTATCTACCTTAAAATGTATCTTGTAGCTATACTAAAATATTATACAATAAATTGTTTTTTAGTAACCGGAATTGGCTCCTCCCCACAGAATTTCTCTATCAGAAGAGCAGAAATAGTTGCAAGCTGCTCTGCCAAAATGCTAATTACTCCCTAGGGAATCATCCAGTTATGCACAAACATGTGGCTGTTTATGTCTTCTGCATAATGCATATAACTTAACTAATGCACTTTTTTTTTTTTTTTTTTTTCTTGCACAGGAGATCTGTATATCTGAGTTAATATTATGTCAGCTGCACTTCCAGAAGTTGCAGAAGAAAGAAACAAATCAACATTCATTACAGGAATTCACAGAAGCCAGCCATGGATTTCAAATTACAAAAAATTTTAATGCCTTCTTTATTTAACAGCCACATATATCTTTCTGTCTTTTCACAACCGTAAGGTTCTCAGGGGACTGCAATGTAACTCTAACATAGGCACACTACCAGCTCAGAAAACAGGCAGAATAGCTGATGAAGTGAAGAGATGCTCCTTTCACTCCTCGCTAAAGGTAATTTAAGGGAATGGGAGTTTCTGTGTGGGAGAATATGTGATGCAAGAACAATCTAAAAATATTTCTTTTTGCTTCCATAGCAACTCCCATGCCAGCATCTCTTTGAATTCATTAATTCATTCTTTCAGCCCTCTTTGGGGGCTTTGTCCAGTTTGCAGAGGTGCAAAGTGATGTTTACAGCTTTTGTTTACAAATGTGTGTCTGCAGTCTGTTCAGGCAGCAGAGTTCATCCTCTCTGATGGCAGCAGCACTTGCTAGGGGAAAGGGTGATGGCTCTAACCCTCTGCAAACTGCTCTCTCCTTTGCGCTTCGGCTCATGCTCCAGCTGACCCCAAAACACCAGAAGGCAGGCCCTGGCAGCCCTTACCTCATGGTACAGTGTTGTAAAAGCAGTTTTGCTCATTTTATATCTCTATCTCTTCTGTGACATGACAGTGCAATTCTGAAATGTACACTCGCAAACACTCATTTCAGTAAAATACCCTCACTTGGCTTTGTGAGGGAAGGAGACAGAAAGAGGGTGCAAGGCTGTCTGACTTGATTTTTTTTTTGGTCCTGAAGAGAAATTGTTTGAGCTATTTACATGGCTCTGTTGAACATTTCCAAGTCAATTGGATTTGAGGGAGAGATCGAAATGAAGTGTGTTTTGTTGTAGAAGTCTGCCTTCCGCCTTTTGACTGTAAAGAGCACAGTTTAGACCCAACGGCTCTGCTTTTGAGTGGGGTTTGCAACATGATGACTGAGCAGCATGGTCCAGTGGGTAGGGCAGGCATTTGGGAGTCTGATCCTTGTCATGTCACTGGTTCCTTGCAGTTGTGTCTTTCTGCCTTGTGTCTGATGGCAGCAAGGATACAGTCCTTTATAAGTTATAAGCAGAGCCTAGAGTGAAAAGTGCTGTAACAATAAAGGTTTTATTGCTTTACAGAATGTTTGTTTTTGTTTTTGTTTTTGTTTTTTTTTTTTTTATTTTTCAGAAAAATTATATTATTTTTACAGAATGTGTTCCTGGAAATTCAGCAAGGGTTAATACTGATCTCATCCCAGTGAGGACTTCTGTAAAACTTCTGTGTTTACAGGTGAACAGTTTTAAGCAAAGTTGGGTGAGCAATTGGTCATGTTAGCACATATCATTCTCCTCTTGGATATGGAGGGTGAAAACAGCCACAGCATCCCCACCCTTCCACCAGCCGTGGTGAACAAGTGTCTTAGGCTTGATACAAATTTGTGTGAGGAGCAGTTTTTCTGCAGGATGATAACTATAAAGCGAAAGCCAGTCTGCTGGCGGTGGTGATGGTGGGAAGGTGATGCCAGCAAAAGGTCCATGCAAGTCCATGTGAGTAGCTCAGAGATGAGGGCCCCACCAGGCTTGGGGGGCTCCTTTAACTGGGGTGCATGGCCTTGGCTGGGACCTGGAAGCAGGAGGATTCACTCTACATCTTGAAGCCCAGACCCAACACTCTTCATTTCTAATCCTAAACTTCTGACATCCTTCTGCAGTGCTCTGAACTTTTCTTTCAGAGTTTTGTCCAAAATCATCTAGTTCCCCAATTCAACAACTTCTCTTAGACCCCAGACTTTTATATTCTCTTTTGTCAAAGGAACAGAGATTCAGCTGATGTGAACAAATAGCTGATGGATGGTTCTTTCTGTTCTCCTTTTTTCAGTCTTTTGTCACCCTTCGACTAGATTTAAAAATTCATTTTGATCCTCTTATACTTTTGACTTCAGCCTTCAGCCAAGAAACTAATTTTAAAAAGCCAGCATAGATATATGTCAACACCGTTTCAAACTGTAATGTCATAAAAGAAAATAACAGCAAACCACTCCGGAAGATGCCATTTTAACTAATTCAAAACATCTGCT